TGGGGTTGAGGTCAGGGCTCTGTGCATGCCAGTCAAGTTCTTCCACACCGATCTCAACAAACCATTTCTGTATGGACCTTGCTTTGTGCACGGGGGCATTGTCATGCCGAAACAGGAAAGGGCCTTCCCCAAACTGTTGCCACAAAGTTGGAAGCACAGAATCGTCTAGAATGTCATAGTATGCTGTAGCGTTAAGATTTCCCTTCACTGGAACTAAGGGGCCTAGCCCGAACCATGAAAAACAGCCCCAGAACATTATTCCTCCTCCACCAAACGTTACAGTTGGCACTATGCATTCGGGCAGGTAGCGTTCTCCTGGCATCCGCCAAACCCAGATTTGTCCGTTGTGTGCGGCTGCTCGGCCATGGAAACCCATTTCATGAAGCTCCCTACGAACAGTTATTGTGCTGACATTGCTTCCAGAGGCAGTCTGGAACTCGATAGTGAGTGTTGCAACCGAGGACAAACTATTTTCAGCACTCGGTGGTCCAGTTCTGTGAGCTTGTGTGGCCTACCACCTCGCGGCTGAGCCGTTGTTGCTCCTAGACGTTTCCACTCTAGCAGGGCAGAAGTTTGACGAATTGACTTGTTAGAAAGGCAGCATCCTATGACGGTGCCACGTTGAAAGTCACTGAGCTCTTCAGTAAGGCCATTCTACTGCCAATGTTTGTCTATGGAGATTGCATGGCTGTGCGCTCGATTTTATACACCTGTCAGCAACAGTTGTGGCTGAAATAGCCAAATCCACTAATTTGAAGGGGTGTTCACATACTTTTGTAAATATAGTGTATATCCAATGAGCTTCCCTCCCCAGGCAGCAGACAACTGTGGGTCACATCTGGTTAGTTGGTGGTACATGTATGGATCAGTGTTGGCATAGCAACACATCATATGGGCTAGATCTGGTTGGTTGGTGGTACATGTATGGATCAGTGTTGGCACAGCAACACATCATATGGGCTAGATCTGGTTGGTTGGTGGTACATGTATGGATCAGTGTTGGCATAGCAACACATCATATGGGCTAGATCTGGTTGGTTGGTGGTACATGTATGGATCAGTGTTGGCACAGCAACACATCATATGGGCTGGATCTGGTTGGTTGGTGGTACATGTATGGATCAGTGTTGGCATAGCAACACATCATATGGGCTGGATCTGGTTGGTTGGTGGTACATGTATGGATCAGTGTTGGCATAGCAACACATCATATGGGCTAGATCTGGTTGGTTGGTGGTACATGTATGGATCAGTGTTGGCATAGCAACACATCATATGGGCTAGATCTGGTTGGTTGGTGGTACATGTATGGATCAGTGTTGGCATAGCAACACATCATATGGGCTAGATCTGGTTGGTTGGTGGTACATGTATGGATCAGTGTTGGCATAGCAACACATCATATGGGCTGGATCTGGTTGGTTGGTGGTACATGTATGGATCAGTGTTGGCATAGCAACACATCATATGGGCTGGATCTGGTTGGTTGGTGGTACATGTATGGATCAGTGTTGGCATAGCAACACATCATATGGGCTAGATCTGGTTGGTTGGTGGTACATGTATGGATCAGTGTTGGCATAGCAACACATCATATGGGCTAGATCTGGTTGGTTGGTGGTACATGTATGGATCAGTGTTGGCATAGCAACACATCATATGGGCTAGATCTGGTCAGAAGGTTGGGCCAAGTCTGACTAGAGGTATGTGGCCCAAGCAGGTTCCCATAGTGCTGGGCCAGTTCAGCAGGTTCCCATAGTGCTGGGCCAGTTCAGCAGGTTCCCATAGTGCTGGGCCAGTTCAGCAGGTTCCCATAGTGCTGGCCATCAGCAGGTTCCCATAGTGCTGGGCCAGTTCAGCAGGTTCCCATAGTGCTGGGCCAGTTCAGCAGGTTCCCATAGTGCTGGGCCAGTTCAGCAGGTTCCCATAGTGCTGGGCCAGTTCAGCAGGTTCCCATAGTGCTGGGCCAGTTCAGCAGGTTCCCATAGTGCTGGGCCAGTTCAGCAGGTTCCCATAGTGCTGGGCCAGTTCAGCAGGTTCCCATAGTGCTGGGCCAGTTCAGCAGGTTCCCATAGTGCTGGGCCAGTTCAGCAGGTTCCCATAGTGCTGGGCCAGTTCAGCAGGTTCCCATAGTGCTGGGCCAGTTCAGCAGGTTCCCATAGTGCTGGGCCAGTTCAGCAGGTTCCCATAGTGCTGGGCCAGTTCAGCAGGTTCCCATAGTGCTGGGCCAGTTCAGCAGGTTCCCATAGTGCTGGGCCAGTTCAGCAGGTTCCCATAGTGCTGGGCCAGTTCAGCAGGTTCCCATAGTGCTGGGCCAGTTCAGCAGGTTCCCATAGTGCTGGGCCAGTTCAGCAGGTTCCCATAGTTGGGCCGTTCGCGTTCCATATGCTGGCCAGTTCAGCAGGTTCCCATAGTGCTGGCCAGTTCAGCAGGTTCCCATAGTGCTGGGCCAGTTCAGCAGGTTCCCATAGTGCTGGGCCAGTTCAGCAGGTTCCCATAGTGCTGGGCCAGTTCAGCAGGTTCCCATAGTGCTGGGCCAGTTCAGCAGGTTCCCATAGTGCTGGGCCAGTTCAGCAGGTTCCCATAGTGCTGGGCCAGTTCAGCAGGTTCCCATAGTGCTGGGCCAGTTCAGCAGGTTCCCATAGTGCTGGGCCAGTTCAGCAGGTTCCCATAGTGCTGGGCCAGTTCAGCAGGTTCCCATAGTGCTGGGCCAGTTCAGCAGGTTCCCATAGTGCTGGGCCAGTTCAGCAGGTTCCCATAGTGCTGGGCCAGTTCAGCAGGTTCCCATAGTGCTGGGCCAGTTCAGCAGGTTCCCATAGTGCTGGGCCAGTTCAGCAGGTTCCCATAGTGCTGGGCCAGTTCAGCAGGTTCCCATAGTGCTGGGCCAGTTCAGCAGGTTCCCATAGTGCTGGGCCAGTTCAGCAGGTTCCCATAGTGCTGGGCCAGTTCAGCAGGTTCCCATAGTGCTGGGCCAGTTCAGCCACATCCACGTTGCATGGCAGGGTTAGGGTCAGGGTTAGGGTTAGGGTCTGACTAGAGGTATGTGGCCCAAGCAGGTTCCCATAGTGCTGGGCCAGTTCAGCCACATCCACGTTGCATGGCAGGGTTAGGGTCAGGGTTAGGGTTAGGGTCTGACTAGAGGTATGTGGCCCAAGCAGGTTCCCATAGTGCTGGGCCAGTTCAGCCACATCCACGTTGCATGGCAGGATTAGGGTCAGGGTTAGGATTAGGGTTAGGGTTAGGGTCGTGGTTAGGGTTAGGGTCGTGGTTAGGGTCAGGGTTAGGGTTAGGGTCGTGGTTAGGGTCAGGGTTAGGATTAGGGTTAGGGTTAGGATTAGGGTTAGGGTTAGGGTCAGGGTCAGGGTCAGGGTTAGGGTTAGGGTTAGGGTTAGGGTCGTGGTTAGGGTCAGGGTTAGGATTAGGGTTAGGATTAGGGTCGTGGTCAGGGTTAGGATTAGGGTTAGGGTCGTGGTTAGGGTCAGGGTTAGGATTAGGGTTAAAGCCAGGGTATGGATTAGGGTTAGGGTTTGGGTCGTGGTTAGGGTCAGGGTTAGGATTAGGATTAGGGTTAGGGTTAGGGTCAGGGTTAGGATTAGGGTTAGGGTTAGGGTTGTGATTAGGGTCAGGGTTAAGGTTAGGGTTAGGGTCAGGGTCAAGGTTAGGGTCAGGGTTAGAGTCAGGGTCAGGTTCAAGGTTAGGAACAGGTCTGTCCATGACAAAACTGTGGTTTAGGTATGGGAGCCAGATTGGGTTAGGGTCAGGGTTAGGAACAGGTCTGTCCATGATAAAATGGTGGTTTAGGTATGGGAGACAGATTGCATCATCATCACACATAATCCATAGCTTCCAGTGATTCCTCAATAGTCTAATGTCTACAATCAATAATACTCTGAAAACAGTCCACCACAGAATACCCAGCAGCGTTCGTAGCCTGGGTTAGTGTCAGGGTTACCCAGCAGCGTTCGTAGCCTGGGTTAGTATCAGGGTTACCCAGCAGTGTTCGTAGCCTGGGTTAGTGTCAGGGTTACCCAGCAGTGTTCGTAGCCTGGGTTAGTATCAGGGTTACCCAGCAGTGTTCGTAGCCTGGGTTAGTATCAGGGTTACCCAGCAGTGTTCGTAGCCTGGGTTAGTATCAGGGTTACCCAGCAGTGTTCGTAGCCTGGGTTAGTGTCAGGGTTACCCAGCAGTGTTCGTAGCCTGGGTTAGTATCAGGGTTACCCAGCAGTGTTCGTAGCCTGGGTTAGTGTCAGGGTTACCCAGCAGTGTTCGTAGCCTGGGTTAGTGTCAGGGTTACCCAGCAGTGTTCGTAGCCTGGGTTAGTGTCAGGGTTACCCAGCAGTGTTCGTATCCTGGGCTGTATTCATCTGTATTGTACTGAGCTATCTATCGTATCCTGGGCTGTATTCATCTGTATTGTACTGAGCTATCTATCTATCTATCTATTGCAGATGGCAATTAATGACTTTTCTAGACTGTTGCTCATGCTGATGAATTCAATGGGATTAATATGGCTTGGTGCTGGGGGGGTGGTGGGTGGGGTGGTGGGTGCTGGGTGGTGGGTGGGTGTGTGGTGGGTGGGTGGGTGGTGGGTGTGTGGTGGGTGGGTGGTGGGTGGGTGGTGGGTGGGTGTGTGGTGGGTGTGTGGTGGGTGGGTGTGTGGTGTGTGTGTGGTGGGTGGGTGGTGGGTGGGTGGGTGTGTGGTGGGTGTGTGGGTGGGTGTTGTGGTTGTGGTGTTTGTGTGGTGTGGTGTGGTGGTTGTGTGTGTTGGGTGTGTGTGGTGTGTTGTTGGTGGGTTGTGGTGGTGGGTTGGTGGGGGTGTGGTGTGGTGGGTGTGTGTGTGGTGTGTGTGGGTGGTGGGTGGGGGTGTGGTGTGGTGTGTGTGGTGGTGGGTGTGTGTGTGGGTGTGTGTGTGGTGTGTGTGTGTGTGGTGTGTGTGGTGTGTGTGTGGTGTGTGTGTGGTGGGTGGGTGTGTGCTGGGTGTGTGTTGGGTGTGTGTGTGG